GCTCACACCTTTAATCCCAACACTCAGGAGGCAGAGGCAGGCGGATCTCTGTGAGTTCAAGGCCAGCCTGGTCTACACAGAGAAACCCTGTCTCGAAAGACAAAAAACAAAACAGAGTTTAAGGTGAAGTTTGGAGCAGTGGTTAAGAGCACTTGTTTCTCTTACAGAGGCCCTGGGTTTGGTTCCCAGCACCTACATGGTGGCTCATAATAGTTCACATCTCGAATTCTACGAGATCTAATTCTCTTTTCTGATCTCCAGGGCACCAGGCACACATATAGTACACAGACATACATACAGACAAAACACTTGTACATTTAAAATAAGATAAATTGTACAATAAAAAGGCCCTGGGTGGTGGTGGGGCACCCCTTTGATCTGCACTAGGGAAGCAGAGACAGGTGGCTCTATGTAAGTTTGAGGCCAGCCTGGTCTACAGAGTTTGTTCTAGAATAGCCAGGGATACACAGTCAAACCCTGTCTTGAAATACAAAACAAACAAACAAAAAAACCAAAAAAACCAACAACAACCCCCCCCAAAGCCATCTGAGGCACCTACCACCAAATCTTAGTGCTCACCCCTCATCAAGGAAACTTCTCTTTGGAACAGATGGAGACCACTACAAAACAAACAACCACAGTGCAGAGTGGAGGAGCCCAGGCCCAATGGATACAGTTATAAAGCATCCTTGAGTCTAAGGCTTAGTGAACTTTTTAGAGACTGGCAGAGCCAGAGGTCCAGGGGGTTTACTATGAGATTTGTCTTCTAGAAATATCAGAAGCTGCGCCCATAATGTATCACCAATATGACTACCTAAATGTGAACTAAACAATAGATGTCTCAAAGTGGACAGGGAAAGGCCCAGGAGTCCTCAACCCTACACAAAGAAGTCAGGCAACTAAAGAATTCTGAGGGGGGAGAAACAGCCTCCCCCAGGGAAGAGAATGCCCTTTGGTTATGCAGTACCAAGCGGATGGTCCTGAAAACATACATACAAGTAACATACAGCCTGGGCAGGTAGCATGAAGAGTGTATATGTACGTAGGTATGCATATATGTATGCAACAATGACTAATGAAAAGAGAGGCCATGGATTTGAAAGAGAGAGGGGAGGGTTATATGTGAAGATTTGGAGGGAGGAAAGACCCTGTCTCAATAATAATAATAATAATAATAATAATAATAATAATAATTTATAATATTAATAATAAAATATAATAATTATTATAAAGAGAGCGAGAGCGAGCGAGCAAAAGAGAGAGAGAGAGAGAGAGAGAGAGAGAGAGAGAGAGAGAGAGAGAGAGAGAGAGAGAGAGAGAGAGAGAGAGAGAGAGAGAGAGAGAGAGAGAGAGAGAGAGAGAGAGAGAGAGAGAGAGAGAGAGAGAGAGAGAGAGAGAGAGAGAGAGAGAGAGAGAGAGAGAGAGAGAGAGAGAGAGAGAGAGAGAGAGAGAGAGAGAGAGAGAGAGAGAGAGAGAGAGAGAGAGAGAGAGAGAGAGAGAGAGAGAGAGAGAGAGAGAGAGAGAGAGAGAGAGAGAGAGAGAGAGAGAGAGAGAGAGAGAGAGAGAGAGAGAGAGAGAGAGAGAGAGAGAGAGAGAGAGAGAGAGAGAGGGAGAGAGAGAGAGAGAGGAAGAAAAGGAAACAAAAACAGCAAAGAGTCCAAGGCCATCCTTGGCTACATGGCCAGCTGGAGCCGGGTTTGTGGAAGACTCCCACAGCCTTGCTTCCACACAGAGTTAATAAGCCAGAATTTCAAAGTCATCCTCGGCTACATGGAGTTTGAGGACAGCCTGGGTTACAAGAGATCTATCTTAAAGAGGAGAGAAGAGGAGAAGTGGGGAGGGAAGAGAAGAGGAGAGGACTCACTGAATCAGTGGGGACACGGAGCCCTCAGCCAGCGTGTGCCAGGGCAACACGGCGCATTGACTGTTGCCCGGCGCACCTGGCACGAGGTGACAGTTTGGAGGGCCTCACCCAGACGGGAAGCACGCTTGTGTACCCTAAGGACGTGGGCGCGGAGACGCGTCAATTGTTTTCTGTGGCCGTAGCGCCCTCTAGCGACCACCAGGGGATAGATCCAGAATTCACCCTCGCCTCGGCTCCATCAGGCCGGTGTAATTTTGCAGTTTAAGGAAATCATCCTTTAAGCTCAAAATCCTACGAATTCAGCAGCTGACAGTGGCTCAGAATTCTTTGTGGAAGAAACATATTCCTCCACCAGCCACGCGGGGGAGGCAGCGCACTGCTTCAAAGGGTGAAGCCCCTGTGGGGGTGCACAGGCAGGTGGATGCATCTCTGTGAATACAAAGCCAGCCTGGTCTCTGTAGTGACTTCCAGGCCACCTGGAATACATAGAGAGACCCTGTCACACACACCAAAAAAAAGTACACGATTCTCGCTACATAGCTACTTCGAGGTTAACCTGGGCTACATGAAACGCTCAAAAATACAAAAGAATGAGGAGAACCTTGAGGACCTGAGTTCAACCCTCAGAAAAATACATAAAAAAATCCAGTATTTTGGCTGACAAGACACTCAGTGGATAAATGTACTCGCCACTAACCTTGATGACCAGCACCACATTGTGGCTCATGACCATATGTGACTCTAGTCTCAGGGCACCAAATGCCTCTGGCTCTGTAGGCAGCACACATACACAGCATAGGCAAAACCTCACACACACAAAATGAAGGTAAGTACATACATATCATACAAGCTAAAATTTATTAAATTAAAAAACAACAAAACAAAATGTGTGGCTTCAAAGCCCCTTTCTTAATCATTCTGCCCTGGTTTAGTGAGCAACTACTGGGCCAGGATTTAGGGGCAGTGGATGTCAGTCGTTCAAATGGTAAGTACAGAGTACTTTGCCTGGGGGCCCTGGTGGTTCTGCTGCCCTTGGTGGCATATAGGAGGCTTATTGCCTTCACTGTTCAGCGTGGCTTGTTTGGAGAAAGAGCTGAGTAGAGTTTTCCTACTACCGTCAACCTCCCCAGCTGCCTACTGTTTTGTTAGGCTTTTTTAAAATTAATTTTAAACCTGATTTTATGTGGATTAGTGTGAAGGTGTTAGATCCCCTGCCACATGGGTGCTGAGAATTGAACCTGGCTCCTCTGGAAGAGTGTCTAGTGCTCTTAACCACTGAGTCATCTCTCTGGCCCCTTTATAAGGTTTTTTTATATTTTTATTTTTCTGCATGTGTATCCATGTGAGCTGTCTGCCGTATGAATTCAGAGGCCAGAAGCCGGCATCAAACTCCACGGAACTGGAGCTCCAGGTGGTCGCAAGCCACTGGGGTAGATGCTGGGATCCTACCCTTGTGGGGTGTTTGTTTGTGCTGGGATTAAAGGTGTGTGCCACCAAGTCCAGCTAGTTTCCTATTATGATGTGATAAAGGTTGAGGGCTGAGCCAAGTATCCCAGGGAAGTCAGCAGGCAGTCAGAAAGCAGAGCAAGTCAGCTTGAGTGTCCCTTGCAAGACATTCTGGGTCTCAGCACCCAGAGGTTCAGGGAAGATGCTGACTTCAACATCCAGGGTACCCAGGTCTGCACATCACGACTGAAATACACATGGCATACTCTTTCTTGAAGAAACTGTTGTCTTTAGTCAATGGCTTCACGGCTGTAAGTATGTCACAATCCAGGCCCTGGAGACTTGGCAGCCTCCCTTCATGGCCCTCTCCCTGGAAGACAGAAATAAGTTGATCTAAATTGCCTTCCGGATCTGTGCTCCCGGAGGGAGGCTGGAGAGATGTAGGACAGATTGATGAGGAGTGATTCATGTTGGAAATAAATGTGTAGGAGGTACCATGCAACCCAGTGTGGAGATATAGCACAAACGGATACAACTGGGGAGCCTGGATCAGGGATGGAAAAGGTGTAGTTTTCCATCAAATCCCTTGGAAAGGAGTTTGAAAGGCTGGGGATGTGGGTAGAGCCTTCCCAGCTTGCAAGAGGCCCTGTGTTCTATCCCTAGCACAACATAAACCAGACATAGAGGTGCACACTGCATTCAGGAGCTACATGAGATGCTGTCTCAAAAGCAAAAGCAGACAAATCAACCCCACATTAGAAAAAACGGTTGAGTTTGAAAAACTAAGATAGTGTGGTGTTGTTTGTCTCTTTGTTCTGTTTTAATTTTTGTCACCTTGACACAAGCTGAAGTCATCTGGGAAGAGGGTCCTGCAGTTGAGGAATTATGGCCTTCTTCAGAATGGCCTATGGTGATGTCTGTGGAGGTATTTTCTTGGTCAATAACTGATATGGGAGGGCCCAATGTACTGTGGGCAGTGCCACCCTGAGCAGGTGGTCCTGGGTACTGTGAGAAAGTAGGCCGAGCAGGTCACAGAGAGAGCAAGCCAGCAAGCAGCAGTCCTTGGCATCTGCTTCAGCACCTGCCTCCAGGTTCCAGCCTTGGCTTCCCTCAGGGATGGACTGTCAGCTGTAAGCTGACAGTAATCTTTTCTTCTCCAAGTTGTTTTTGGTCACAGTGTTTTATCTCAGTAAAGTTGGACAGATGGTTCTTTTGTTTTAAGATTTATTTTATCAGGCTGGAAAGATGGCTCAGGAGTTAAGAGCACTCACTGCTCTTCCAGAGGTCCTGAATTTAATTCCTAGCAACCACATGATGGCTCACAACCAACCATAACGAGATCTGCTGCCCTCTTCTGGCTTGCAGGCATACATACACACAGGCAGAACATGGTACATAATAAATAAATCTAAAAAAAAAAAAAAAAATTTATTTTATCATTTTAATCATGTGTATGTGTGTTTAAGGCCGGAGGCATCGATCCTCTGCAGCTGGAGTTACAGGTGGCTAAAAACTATCTGATGTGAGATCCAGGAACTGACTCTAGTCCAATGCAAGGGCTGCACTTGCTCTTAACCTCTGAGCTGGCTCTCTAGCCACTCCCACACACCTTTTGTCCCTTCACACAGTCTTTTGAAGATTCTTTTTTTTTCATTATGTGTCTATGTGTGAGTATGTGTACCTGTGTCCGATGCCTGGAGAGGTGAGAGGAGTGTCACATTCCCTGGAGCTGGACCTAGATTTCCGGATGGCCTCCATGTGGGTGAAGGGAATTCGACCCAGGTCCTCTGTAAGAGCAGAAAGTGCTCTTAACTTCTGAGGCTGCTCCCCAGACCCTCCTTTCTCTCTTTTTAAGGATTTTTTTTTCACATAAGTTTTTGAGCCTGGTGGTGCATGCCTTTAGTCCCAGCACTTGGGAGGTAAAGGCAGGTGGATCTCTGTGAGTTCGAATCTAGCCTGTCCTACAGCGAGAGTTCCAGGACAGGCTCCAATGCTACAAAAAGAAACCCTGTCTTGAAAAACCAAAAAAAAAAAAAAATAGTTGTGAAGCCTCTGCATTAATCAGTGTTGCCCGTGTGCACATCGATGCTTGGTTACTTACTCCAGGAAGGCCATGTCCCAGCAGCCAAACCACTGAGGACTATGACTTCTCTCCTGTAGCAACCTTTACCTGTCTATAGCTCTTCTAGCAAGTGTGGGGCCCTCTGAACCCTCAGTTATCCGAGGAGGAATGTCAACGGCCCCATTTCAGCAGGTAACTTCTGCTGACCTGGGCTCATGGGTGTGACAACCAGGTCATGTCAGAAGACTGCCCTTCAAGGCCCTCCCCATATCCTCCAGCTCTTCTGTCTTCCCACCCTTTCTCCTGTGAGGTTCTCTGAGGAACAAGTGACACAGATGTCCTTTAGGGCTTAGCACTCAGTCACGTATTCTCAGCACCTTGATTAATCATAAGTTCCTGCATTACCCGGTCACTTCCTATAGACAGTAGCTTCCCCGACCAAAGTGGAAGAGCATTAATCTATGGACAGAAACATAATTTTTAGAAGGCAGTTTGATGCCATGCCTGGCCAACAAACGACAGTAGTATATGTCCTCCCTGGGGCCTGTGACTTTCCCAGGCACAAAGTTTCTTTGTTTTTGAGACTGGGTCTCCCTATATAGCCCTGGCTGTCTTACTATGTGGACCAGGCTGGCTTTGAACTCACAAGGACCCATCTACCTCTGCCTCCAGAGTTTTTGGATTGAAGGTGTGCATGAGCCAGCATGCCTTGTTTGGCTCACTTCACAAGGTGATCCAACATCCTCTTCCCATCTCTACGTAAGGAAGTTCCAGGGCAGTGAAGGGTATGTAGTGAGACCTGTTTAAAAAAGAGGATGAAGAAAGAAAGAAAGAAAGAAAGAAAGAAAGAAAAAGAAAGAGGAAGGAAGGAAGGAAGGAAGGAAGGAGAGAAAATGAAAAAAAGAAATTAGTTTGGACTTTGAAGAAAATTACATAGCCAGGCATGACATTTGCCTCTAATCCCAGCACTCGAGAGACAGTGACTGGTGAACCTCTGAGTTTGAGACCAGCCTGGTCTACAGAGAGTTCCAGGACAACCAGGACTGTTATACAGAGAAACCCTGTCTCAAATAAACAAAAACAACAAACAAACAAAAAAACCCCAGCCAGGCAGTAGTGGGGCACGCCTTTAATCCCAGTACTTGGAAGGCAGAGACAGGAGGATCTCTGTGAGTTTGAGGTCAGCCTGGTCTATAGAGTGAGTTCCAGGACAGGCTCCAAAGTTACAAAGAGAAACCCTGTTTTGAAAAACCAATCAAAAAACAAAACAAAACAACAAGTAAAGAAAATGACAACAAGATTCATGTTCTTTGGCAAGGCAACAGTTTTACACCTGTAGAAATATGCAAGGCCTTGATTAGATTACCACCAGATTTTTAAGATTACAAACACAAACGGGTCCTGTGCCTCCCTGAGCAATCAGAGTCAGGCCTCCCATTCTTAGAGGCTGATATGGAGCAGTGAGGTTTCTATGGAGAAGTGAAAGTTGAGTACATATTTTGATTTCCAAAAGCTCTGACCCTAGAGGAATTCAAATTTCTGCCAAGTGGCTTCTTTACAAATTTTTTTTTTTTTTGCAATGGAGTTTGTTTTATTTAACCCTTTGATAGAAAAGTTAGTGCATTTTTTGTTTGTTTGTTTCCCATGCCCTGGAGCTGGAGTTAAAGGCGATATGAGCTGCTAGGCAGGTGCTAGGAACTGAACTCAGATCTTCTGCAAGAGCAGTGTGTACTCAGAACTGCTAAGTACCTGTCTCTTCAGCCCTGAGTGTTCTTTCTTGTTTATTAGTTGGTGCACTGAGCATGAAGCTGGGCCTTCAGGCATGTTAAGCCTGAGCTGGTCACTGGTCACATGGTCACTGAGCTACACCTGTGCTCACCAAACTGTACCCACCCTCATGTTTTCCTGGTCTTTTAAGTTTTCTGAGGCACCTTTCCTTACTATCAGGGTAACATTCAGTATGCTTCTTCTTCTTTTTTTTTTTTTTTTTCAGAATCTTTCTATTCAGCCCTATGGTTGGCCTGGAACTCACTAGGTAGCTGAAGATGACTTTGAACTCCTGACTTTTCTGGCTGGTGTGTAGTGGCTTCCATATGCAATCCCAGACATTGAGAGGCTGACTGAAGGATTAGCACAAGATTAAAGCCAGCCTGGGCTACATCAGACTCTGTCTCAAAAACAAACAAATCAGGACTAGTGAGATGCCTTAGTGGTAGATGCACGTGGCGTCAAGCCTGATCCTCTGGGTTCTATTCCTGGGACCCACATGGTGAAAGAGGGGAACTGACTCCTCTAAGTTGTCCTTGTACCTTCACAGATGTGTGCACACATTTGCACACACACACACTAATAAGCATAATAAAATTTATAGCACAAACAAAATTTTTAAAATATTTTTCTGCATTAGCTGGCTTTTGTGTGTATGAGTGTTCCCCTTTGTGGGGGTGAGGAGGACACTGGGTGTCCTGCTCTGTCCCTCTCCACCTTATTCTCTTTAGGTATAGTCTCTCACTGAGCCAGAGCGAGGCTAGTGGCCCACAAGTCCTGAGACCCTCCTGTCCCTGCCTCCTGGGGTTGCACACATAGGCAGCAGTGCCTGGATTTATGTGGGTACTGGACATTTAAACTCAGGGGTTCATGCCTATACAGCGCAGGCTGACCCGCTGAGCCAGCTCCCCAGTGTGTGTGTGTGTGTGTGTGTGTGTGTGTGTGTGTCCCCATGTGTGTCCCCGTGTGTGTGTGTGTGTGTGTGTGTATGTCCGTGTGTGTGTGTGTGTGTGTGTGTGTGTGTGTGTGTGTGTGTCTATGTGTCTGTGTGTCTGTCTGTCTGTCTGTCTGTCTGTGTGTCTATGTGTCTGTGTGTCTGTGTGTCTGTGTGTGTGGTGTGTGTGTGTGTTTCTTCTTTCCCAATTTTGTTTTGTTTTTGTTCCCTTCCCCTGCCTTCCTCTTCACTCCTCTCCTGTGCTTTCCTGATCCTTCTTATTTGTATTTCAGTTTATTTGTATGTCGTGGGGTGGGGCAGAAGAAAGTGTTGGGTGTCCTCCACCCTTATTTATTTATTTTTTTTTCGAGACAGGGTTTCTCTGTGTAGCTTTGGAGCCTATCCTGGCACTCTCTAGAGACCAGGCTGGCTTCGAACTCACAGAGATCCGCCTTTCTCTGCCTCCCGAGTGCTGGGATTAAAGGTGTGCACCACCAATGCCCGGCCTGTCCTCCGCCCTTTTAAGCAGGTAGGATCTTTCCCTGAGTCTGGAGCTAGGGTCTCAGCCAGCAAGCCCCAGCAATCCTCCTGTCTCCACCCCACTCAGAAGTAGGCTTACTTTACAGGCTTTTGTTAAGTGTGTGCTAGAATCTGAACTGGGGAACTTGTGATTGTGAAGCAAGCATTCTTAGCCACTTAGCTATCTCTCCACTCCTCCTTTCCTTATCGTACCCATTAGTAAATTTGTTTTTTTTTTTTTTTAATGTGTGTGTGTGTGTGTGTGTGTGTGTGTGTGTGTGTGTGTGTGTGTGTGTGTGTGTGTGTGTGTACCTGCAGAGGCCAGAAGAGGGGACAGATCCCCTGGATGGAGCTGGAGTTACAGGTAGTTGTGAACTGTCTAGTGTAGCTGGAGTTTCTTTCCAGGCTGGACCTACAGTCGATTAGCCCCAGTTAAATACACTGACACAAATTAATATAAACTGTTGACCAATGGCTCAGGCATCTTACTGGCTAGCTTTCTCTTAGTTATTAACCCATAACTGCTAATCTATGTATTTCTACATGGTTTTGTCTTACCAGAGAACTTCCAGCATCCTATTTTCCTAGTAGCTATATGGAGTCTCCCTCCTGGCTTCTCTTTCCTTCCTTTCTACCCAGAATTCTCCTTATCTGGTAGCCCTGCCTATACTTACTTCATGCCTGGCTACTAGACACTCAGTATTTTATTCATCAACCAATAAGAGAAACATATATACAGAAGGACATCCTCCATCATCTCCCCTTCTCTGTCTAAATAAAAAGAAGGGTTTTAACTTTAACATAGTAAAATTACATATAACAAAACAGTCATCTAGCAAGAACTATAGTTACAATATTTAGTTCATTAACGTTTGGCAAAATTTAAAGAAAATGTTTTATCATCTATCCTATCTTTGTGGGTATAAAATTTTATATGTAACTTATTTTTTATCATAACTAATGAAACCATAAGCGTAACTATTTGTCTTCAACACCATCAAAGTCCTCAGAAGGATAATATATAAACTCTAGAATTGACAGAGACATCGCGCTGCCTGGACAGTCACCCAAAGTTCCTCTGTAATGTTGGAGCATCCATCTTGAGCCCACAGGCTATAGTGTGTCTGGCAGACTTCTCAGTGAAGCAGGAAATTTGAAACTGTCCCACCTGTGTTGGCAGTTTGTCAGTCATTTTTCCCTGTATCCTGCAGAATATCTGGCAGACTCTTCCATGAAGCAGGAACCCTGCAGGACTGTCCCCTCTTGTTTTGGCAAGTTCAGCAGTTACTTTCCTGTGGGTGCTGCATGTCCAGTTTAGACAGCAAACAGTCAAACAGTCCAGACAAGAGTAGTTTCTTACCCAAATGGCTAGTCTTGCCATATTGAAAGCAACTTCATATTGAGTTTCTTCAATGCCCATCTTCCTCTCTGACATAATTGGTGTTGCCAGGAGCAGTTGTGTCTCTTTGTTGTGAAAAACCCTAAAAAAGCATTTTAAATGCCATAATTCTGTAGGCCTTTGAAAGGTTTCAAGAATATATATCCATTTGAAATATATCTCTATATATCTAGAAAACCTAACAGGATTATAAGTTTTGACTATCATAGCTGACTATCTATAATCTGTATTTAATTCTACATTGTATAAACACACTATCTAAACAAGAGGAGAAATAAACATATAACGAGATTGACCTTAAGTTTGTATCAATAAACCAAAATCCATACCAATGCAAAGTATTCATTTCTATATCAGTCTAGTGTGGGTTCTGGGAACTGAACTCAAGTCCTCTATAAGAGCAGTAAATGTTCTTAGTTGCTGAGCTATCCCTTGTCCTCTTTCTGTAAAAAGACAATTACAGGTGAGTTTGGTGGCCCAGGCCTTTAATCCAAACACTTGGGAGGCAGAGGTAGGTGGATCTCTGAGTTCAATTCCAGCCTGGTCTGTAGAGCTAGTTCCAGGACATCCAGGGCTACACAGAGAAACCCTGTCTTGGAAAAAAAACAAAAAACAAAAAAATGCGAGGAGGAGGAGGAGAAGAAGAAGGAAGAAGAAAAAGAAGAGGAGGAGGAGTACAAGGTTAGCCTACATAATGAGCAAGCCTTGGCTACAGAATGAAACAATATACAAAATTCCACTGTAACAAATACCCTGTTGCCTCTGAAAAATGGTTGTAACTATTTCACTAAGCAAAATTCTAAAAATGTTATTTCTGGAGTAGAATTTTACCTCAAAAAGTAAAAGCTGGGGCTGTAAGGGGTGCTCATCAGATAAGAACATCAGCTGCTCTTGCAGAGACCTCAGTTTGCTTCCAGCACCACACAGTAATAGCTCCCAATCGCCTCTAACTCCAGTTTCAGGGATCCAGTGCCCTCTGCTGGCTTCCTCGAGCATCAAGCACGCACAGAGTGCACATGCACACACACAAGCAAATCATCCATATGTATAAAATCAATGTAAAAAAAGAAGAAAGTCAGCGGGGCGTTGGTGGTGCATGCCTTTAATCCCAGCACTCGGGAGGCAGAGGCAGGCGGATCTCTGTGAGTTCGAGGCTATCCTGGTCTCCAGAGCAAGTGCCAGGATAGGCTCCAAAGCTATACAGAGAAACCCTGTCTCGAAGAAGAAGAAGGAGGAGGAGGAGGAGGAGGAGGAGGAAGAGGAGGAGGAAGAAGAAAGAAGAAGAAGAAGAAGAAGAAGAAGAAGAAGAAGAAGAAGAAAGTCAGCCAAGATGGCTCACGCCTGTAATTCCAGTACTTAGGAGGCAGAGGCAGGTTGATCTCTGTGAGTTCAAGGCCAGCCTGATTTGCATATTAAATTCCAGGTCAGCTAGAGATAAATAGTGGGAGCCTCAAACAAAAACATAAACAAAAAAAACAGAGATCTGCCTGCCTCTGCCTCCTGAGATTAAAGGTGTACGCCATCACTGCATGGCTAAAATCCTTCTTTAAAAGGTAAATCTTTAGGGTCTAGGGTATGAATTGCACTTTGTCCTCCCTTTCTTTCTTCCATTCTTTTCTTTTTTGTGAGACAGGAGGTCTCTTGTAGCCCAGGCCAGACTCTAACCCACTATGTAGCCAATGATGACCTTAACCCTGACCCTCTAACCTCTATGTCCTGAGCATTGGGACGACGACAGTTGTGCACTATCACACTCAGCTCACGTGGTCCTGGGGATGGCCCTCGGGCTTTGCATACGCTGGACCAGCGCTCTGTCAACTGAGCCACATCCTCAACCCAGAATGTTCTGCTTTCTGTTTGTTTGTTTGTTTGTTTTTTGAGACAGGGCTTCTCTGTGTAGTCCTGGCTGTCCTGGGACTCACTCTGTAGATCAGGCTGGCCTTGAACTCACAGGGATCCATCTGCCTCTGCCTCTGCCTCCTGTGTGCTGGGACTAAGGGCATGCGCCACCAATGCCTATTTTTGTTTTTGTTTTTAACAGCTATGGTAATGTTTCTGCATCCCATCAGCTCTGGGTATTACCCTGTTTAGTGTTTTTTGCTGATTTTATTAGCCTCTGCTTCCCTCTGGCCCCACCCTGGAAGACTCCTACCTGTACCCCCTGACCTCCTCCTGTTTGATTTTTGTTCTCAAGGTGTCTGACATGGTCCTCATTGGCCTGGCTCTCGGGGGTCACGTGTGGAGAGGCCACACTGATGGAGGCCCTTGGGATGTCCTCTGTTTCCTCTTTCACTTCAGTTATCTGAGCCTGGGAATAGGATTCATCACCACAGTGCTCAGCCTTGCTGGGTGGTATGGGAGGAGCATGAAAGCAAAGGCAGGCTCCTGACTGTGAGTAGTCCGCACCCAGAGACCACACAGTGCTGCCACGTGCCCATTCTTATTGCAGGCTCCCAGTGCTTCCCCTTTACGGCCCCCGTTTTATTTTATATTATATTTTGTTTGTTTTTCAAAACAGGGTTTCTCTGTTTAACAGCTCTAGTTGTCCTGGAACTCGCTCTGTAGACCAGGCTGGCCTCAAACTCACAGAGATCCACCTGCCTCTGACTTTGATCCTGAGTGCTGGGATTAAAGGCATTCACCACCACCAGTTTTTTTTTTTGTTTGTTTGTTTGTTTGTTTGTTTTTGTTTTTTTTTTGAGACAGGGCCTCAATATGTAATGCAGGCTGACCTCAAACTCAAAGATCCACCTGTGTTGCCTCCAGGGTCCTGAGAGTAAAGGTGTTTGCTACCATAGCTGGTTCATACCTGGCCTTTTTTGTTTTCCTTGATCAGGGTCTTATTTAGCCCAAGCTGGCCTTGACCTGGCTAAGCAGCCAAGGAGGACTCTCTTCCACTTTTCAAGTACAGGCTCCTGGTTTCCTTGTTTGATTTTGATATTAGTATGTGGCTGAGGCTTGTGAGGGCTTCCTCATCATCCTTTCTTCTTCATCGATCTTGTCCTCCATATGCACCTGCTTTGAGTCCTCCCCTCCATATGCATCTGCTTTGAGTCCTCCCCTCCATATGCATCTGCTTTTGGTCCTCCCCCATATGCACCTGCTTTGAGTCCTCCCCCCATGTACCTGCTTTGAGTCCTCCCCCCCATGCACCTGCTTTGGGTCCTCCCCCCATGCACCTGCTTTGGGTCCTCCCCCATGCACCTGCTTTGAGTCCTCCCCCCATGCACCTGCTTTGGGTCCTCTCCCATGCACCTGCTTTGAGTCCTCCCCCCATGCACCTGCTTTGAGTCCTCCCTCCCATGCACCTGCTTTGGGTCCTCCCCCCATGCCCCTGCTTTGGGTCCTCCCCCCATGCCCCTGCTTTGGGTCCTCCCCCCATGCACCTGCTTTGGGTCCTCCCCCATGCAACTGCTTTGAGTCCTCCCCCATGCACCTGCTTTGAGTCCTCCCC